GGGGGGGGGGGGGGGGGGGATTTTATGTTTGTAGTCGAAGTGGATTGAGTTACAAAGGAATAGATCATTGGTTTGATAAATACACGTTGTAGAGCCACCGGCGACGACCGAGTCAAATAATCCAAGTCGGCGGTGAGGGCGGGAGCGGGAGCGGGGGGGGGCTACACAGCTGTCAGTGCGACCAATCAAGGACACGAAAAGCACGTCGCAAGGCTGCCGTGAATTCGTTTGCCAAATGCATTTCGTTTCTGGTTTGGTGTTTTGGCCTGGGCTTGTTTTTTTTTTTCTGTGGATATGTATTGATGTCGTGAGGACAAGAAAGCGGTGTTTCTCAATAAACATATTGTGTACCTGATACCCCAGTAGCGCCATTGCCTTCCCAATAACCACCATCTCATCGACATCCTTCGCAAAATGATCGAAGTGCATCGAACCGATACATGCGTATACCCACGAAAGCAGGCAGTACTGGGCGGCTGGGACGGGGTATGGGCACAGCGGCGCGGCGGGAGAAAAGTGGGACGTGGACGCGTACCTCGCGGCGCAGAGGGAGCAGGATCGGCTCAAGGAAAATCTGCTGCAGGTGTGTGCCATTTATATTATGTGTGTGTTGCTCTCTGAGTTTGGCAGCATCAACCGCGCTTTCAACTGGCAGTACTAATAGCGCATCGCGGTACTGTGTGTGTGTTTTTGTGTTTTCTTGCTGCTGTTGGATGGCGCGAATGTTGACGTACGGCAGTGGTACGCGCGGTTTAGCGACCCCCTGGTTAACGGCATGCCCTGTAGAAGACGGTCATTGGCTATTGTCAAGTCAGGACAGCGTCAACTCCCATCTTCGCTCTGACCTGTGCACCCGGCCTCGGCAAGCCGTCAACCGGCAGCGTCAACTCCCATCTTTGCACTACTGACATCGTGCGCGCACCCTTGTTGTTTCCACACAATGCGAAGGAAATCGCGTACCTGATGAGACCCGACGAACGGCATGCCTTCCCGGAGTTTGCCGCGTTGAAGAGAAAGTCCGCGCTCCAGACCCCGCCGCCGCCGCCGCCTGCTGGAGCCTCGAATCCAGAGGAAGAGTTGGAGGAGGAGGAGGGGGATGGGGAGGGTGCCGTTGCCGCAGGTGAAGGACAGCAGACTCGGTCGGGTTTAAGGAAAAGGGGGAGGGCCGATGTTGCAGGAAGCGGGGATCGGATTGTAAGAGGGGGTTTAGTAAGGAGCGGCTTATCCCGACCGTGAGAATTGCGTACCGTATTACGTTGCCATACCGTGGAATATTTCATGGTACGGTTTGGGCGAAACCGGCCGGATTTAAGGAGAGTGTTTTTGGTGTATCCCAACCCTCTCATAAAATAAGCCGTAGCCGCCGCTATAGCTTTTTCGCTGGGTCGTGCAGCAGGCATCCGTGACAGCCACCCGAGGTCACGGCGCGCTCCGACCAGTACGACCAACGTCACCCCTCTGACTGATTCGAGGTGCAATAATTTTCGAACTTGTAGCCCGCCTCTATGCAACAATGGTCTAACCGCTAAGGCATGCAAAACATAAAGAGTACGCCCCCCCCCCCCCCCCCCCCCCCCCCCCCCCCCCCCCCCCCCCCCCCCCCCCCCCCCCCCCCCCCCCCCCCCCCCCCCCCCCCCCCCCCCCC